CTTGCACGCTTGTCATGCTGGTGGCCGGAACTGGATGCTGATATCAAGCATACTGCTAAGAATTGTGTTAAGTGTGTACATAAGATTCATAACTAGTCTTCACAGTGGCATCCGTGGCCAGTTACTTGTGAAGCATTTCAACGAGTTCATGCTGACTACTGTGGTCCTTTTCTCGGTAAATACTATGCTTTAATTCTTATTGACGCATATTCACGTTGGCCTGAAGTTTTTCTAACTACGTCTCCAAGTGCCGAATCCACTCAGCAAGTATTCAGCCATGAAGGTGTACCAACTGTTTTGGTCACTGATAACGGCACACACTTCACTGCAAAATTCTTCGAGGAATGGTTGAAGGGTCTTGGATGTCGACATCTGTTTACTGCTCCGCGACATCCCCAGTCGAATGGACTTGCTGAAAATTTTGTCCGAACACTTAAGTCTGCCGTTATTTCACTTTCTCCTACTACTTTTGCGGAATTGGACCGTGGGATTGATAATTTTCTAATGCAATACAGGAACGCCGTCCATTCCGGTACTGAGAAGAGTCCCGCGCTTCTAGTTAAATCTCGTTCGTTGCGTACAAGTCTTGACTGTGCCAAAACGACTGATGTTACATTTTTCAAGGGTAATGATTTACGACCTGCCACAGGAATGGTACTTTCATCAAATGGCAAACGAATGGTCACAATTCTTGATTTGGATGATCTCTCTTGACATCGGAGACACATTGACCAGGTTGAGTTCAATACCAAAGGTCAGTCTGTTAAAAGCAATCCTGCTGTTTCAAATACTAATGAGTCCTTTGTAGATGATCTTGTGGTATCTGAACAAAACGTATCTGAAGTTTCCATTCCGAGAAGATCCAAAAGATTGCGGTCAAATCCACCAGTGGGCTATAAACATCCATACGCTCATTCAAGGTGTGGAGGATGTGATGAACATGAGTGATACTCTATTCGTCGCTCTATCCATTATATTCTTGTTTTAATATTCCATATGCCGTACGTATTCGCCAATCCGAATATATACGTGCTGGTTGTTACGCTTTGCTGATCTCTGGATTTCTAGTTCGTCTGGTTATACCGATATACGTACGAAACTCAATTCTCTCAAGTGCATACCCCGGGGTCCAGTGCCCATGCTTTCCGTGATCAACAATCTATAGACCGGATTTTAGGTGCTTTAAAAAATGTCATCCAAAACGGTTTTTCGAGCACTTTTCGTCGACATTTACGTCCGAATAGCGTTCGAAACGACGCCATCTACTGCCATCTGGCTACAATGGGCCTCGCCTGACTGCGAAACCTCCACGCGTCGCGTCTTTCGAAATTTTTCCGGGACCGAGGGCTATCGTCTACCACCATAATGCCCAACAATGCATCAGATGCCCAACCAAGCTGGTTGGCTCTTATGACGATAGTTTTATATGTTCTGAGTGGTGGGAAAATTGCCGAATTTATCGAGCATACACTGCTGCGCTTCACACCAGAGCATCCCATACTTCAGTGGCGGCCATGCAAGTGCTCAACTCCTGTTTGAAAGGCCATCGAGTTACCGAAAGAAGATCGCGCAAATAATTAGGAACCTTATGGTTGTGTTCAACATAATAGGAGTGGCTTTGAGATGGTCCAACTGCATCCTTAAAAAAGCCCCACTGGACAGCCAGTGCTTCTCGTGCTGATTTTTTATTAGAAACATGCTCAGTTTAATAGCCTCAAATTCCTTGAAATTGTGTTTATTTTTTCAGGTTGGCTGCTGCATTTCTGGTAAACCCGTTCATCACGCAAAACAGCGCCAGTGCTTCGGTTATTGACCAACGCATGATTATCCTTCGGGCATTCACTTAAAGCCTTCTCAAACCTAAGGGATGTAAAATATCCAGCCCCCAATTTGTTGACGAGC